GCAAGGAAAAAAACCCCAAACTTCTTCTGGGTCTGAAAGATAAATTACTGCTTTAAATGTACAGAGCAGTGTCTGCCTTGAAATGAACATCCAAGGCAATTGCTGTGTTTTGAAAGATCCCCAGGTTGCAGGCTTAATATGAAGTAGTTCTCAGCAGAATGTATTTTACTGGCTTTCCAAATAACAGTCTAACCATAAGTATAGATCTTCTGGATATTCTCAGTGTAAAAGATCAATTACAGAACAGGCAGTTTGATGTTTGCAATCTGTCTTTTAGTAAACATTTCTCTTTCTCCTCCTCAGTTGGAAAATTCCTGCTGGGTTCTGAATGGTGTAGACCTTGAGGAGCTTTCATGTTGTTAAAATAAAACAGACATAACTTTTTTCTTTTTGCTTCCACTGATAAGATGTTCTAGCAAAATCATCCCCAGCATTTCTTCCTAAATGCATTCCCCAACCAGCTTACAATAGGTATTTGACTCCTGAAAGTCAATATTGCCATGAAAAGAGGGTAGAAATATGACACCCATTTTAGCAGTGATCGGGAAGAGATACCATATATATGACTGAGGTCTGTATGTTATCCAGCTTAAAATATCTGACGATGTTTTGGACCCCTTTTGCCAGTAAATTCAGTTTTCTCCTATTGCAGACATCACTTTATATAATACACTTCAGACTCCACCTCACAGGAAGGTCAGCTTTTTGCTCTCATTCTTCCTACTGGAACACCACTTAAAAAATTGGTTACTTTGATAGCTAGGAACATTCTCAAATATTGACTCTTAGTGTATTCATAGGCAATACACATTCATTTGCTTTTGGGCCATTGTTATTCTTTAGCTTAAACGTACCTTTTCTTTCCCTAATCTTCATCCCTCTCATTCATCTATTGACATCAGTCCCAAGGCCTGGCTTTTTACCCTTTTTTGCCTTATTCTGACAGAATGAGCTGTAAGCATTTGGAAGTACAAAATTTGAACTGCTTTCCAAGAAAGGTTGAAAAGGTGGTTGTGGGAGTTATTCTGCAGCAGCTGTGGTACTACACAATGGGAATTTCTGCCTTAATGATAGCTCCACCTGAATATGAGGAAGAACTTCTTTACTGTGCAAGTGACCTGGAAGACGTTGCCTGGAGAAGTTCTGGAGCCTCCCTCACTGGAGATATTCCAGAACTGTCTGGACACAATCCTGTGCAATGTGTTCTGGGATGACCCTGCTTGAGCAGGGAGGTTGGACCAGATGACCCACTGTGGTCCCTTCCAACCTGACCCATTCTGTGATTCCGTAAATATGACGCAGCCTAGAAGAAGTATCTTAAGGTCAGGCAGTCCTCAGAACTTGTAAGTCCTACAAACTCCTGAGCTACATCTCTATCAGTTATGCATTTCTGGTGTGTGTGTGCGAGAGAGAGAGAGACCTGGGCATACACACTGCCAGCATGTAATTATTCAACACTCAACTGATAAAATACAGGCACTCATCTCCTCAGTCATTTCCAGATGATTCATAGATTTACTTTGTTGTTAGGCTGAATCCCATGGCACAAGCTTCTACATACTGTGTTAAGGTGATGATTTACATCCTATTTTTTTGCAACAGCCCCTTTAAACTTCAGCACTGGATCACAGATGAGAGAATTTGCTTCATGAGATTAATGCATGACAGTACTATTGACTGGTGTAGTGTACCATCTTCTTCCTGTCCAGAAATTCACAGCTCCAGAGACACTCCATATTTGCCAAATGGAATGTACTCACTCAGTTCAGAGCAAAAGGAGTGTTTTGCAATCCAAAACCAGATGAAAATTGTGACTGGGCCACCACGAGTCCAACCCTGGTGAAGTACCACCGGAATAACCTGAATTTTGTTTATCTGAATCACAAGTTAAATAAGGAAAGTCAAATTTTAGGAAGACTAAACTCTGACAAATGCAATGTTTCCTTATTTGAGGGTAAGCATGATACAGGCGTGATCCCACAGATAACACCCCACAAAGTGCACACCGTGCTGAGGGTCCAGCCAGCTGGTTTATCCCACAGCACAGACCCTGGTCTGGCAGGAGTTTTCACCACGCTGAGCTCAAATAGAACATGTTGTTATGACCAAGATCCACCAACAGTCTGCAGGTAATGCTGAGAGACTTTTCCTTCTGCTGGAAATTACTTAAAATCATCTAGGATCATCCCCAGATTGTTCCATTCTCCTGGAAGGACAAGTGTTTAAGATGTGACAATTGTCTTTTAGTACAGAGAGACAAATTCAATGGTTGGGATGGAAGGTAGAAACATGGTTAGTAAAGACAAAGAAAGAATAAAATGAACATCTTTTGCTTTGAAAGCATGCCTTTTTTTTCCCCCTGTTCCCATTCTCAAGGATATTTGGATCATTTTACTCCTGAGGAAGGAAGCAGATCCAGAATATTTCCTCTAGAAAAGTGAATGTTCCTTTTCTAATAACATTTAACACTGGAGAAGTATTTCCACAACTTAGTGCATGCCAGTTCTATAAGAAAAAACTCTAAAGACAGCACATTGAAATCACATAAAATAAATAATAATATGTGATTTCTTGCCTGAGATCGTTCTGTTGCTTTCCCCAGTCCGGCCACAAAAAACGCAGCTATTTGCTTTCTATGTTATACACTCACTGCCTGTTTGTCAGCAGGAAAAATTCAGAGTACTAAAAAATGCTTACTGCTTTGAGACCAATAATAAAATGTGTGCTTGCCTTCAGATTAGCTATCACTGCTTTTTCCTGCAGAGACTAGGAGAAATATAGAGGTGAAATTCCATGTTGTTATGTATAAAATAGTCTTTAAAGAAGTGCATGGGGAGTTAGCTGTATTGATATTAATATGCCTCATGCAGCTAAATCCCTGCTCACCACTTATAAAACATAAAATATACGAAATTTAGAATCTTGATCATAAAACAAATTAAATCAACAGAGTCAACTTCAGAGAGCACGAATATGTTTCATTTCATTAGAAAATAATAAGCCATGCTGGCATTTGGACAGCAATGAAGACTGCTTGCTGGAATGTATCTTTTTCACAGCAGAGCATTTTACTCTTCTATCATTATCAGCATGACAAGATCTCCCCAGTACAATGGCTCTCACACCAGCAGGATTCTCTTTTATTTCCTTGGTGGATGATGGGAAGCTTGCCATGATTTCATTGCATCTCCAACGCAGTTGTGATAATGCATTAAAATAAAAGACATTCTATTCTAGAATATTTCTCAGCCTAAGGAGAGAAACAGGACCAAGGTCAGAAGGGTAAGCAAGGAAACTGGAAGAGAAATTAGTGGGTCAATGTGTTGTAATATATCAGCTTATAACTGGTGAGAAACCTCATGCTTTCTAAGCCTGAATCAGACGACCTGGTTGTTAGATCAGGAGTCAGGAGCTGACAGCATGGTGGCAGCAGAAGATACCTGGCCTGAACCTGACACAGAGTCACTGCAGAATGGGAATGGCTCTGACTTGAGATACAGCTGAGAGTCCAAGGGAATCCAGCGGTCTCCGCCGGCCGGGGGAACACGACACTCAGCTGCCCAGTGGCAGCTTTCTTTCACAAGGAACAAGATCTCGCATCGCCAAAATATCCATTAGCACACTGAACTTCTGATTTAGAAAATTAAAATATAATTTGGCAAGCAATGCTCGAAAACCTTCCAACCTCTGTGCCAGACCATGCTGACCATCTCACTTAACCAGAAGTCAACAAACATGAAGGGCCAGCGAGGAGACTGTGCAGCTGGCAGGAAACATTCAGGAAACTGTAAGCCTGAGCTTTCAGAAACCTTTCAAAAGAAGTCTGTGCTCCTTTCTATTCTCCATCACTACCTCCTGCACTTCTCACAGATGCAGAGCTACAGAGGTGATCCCTCAGGCACAGAGTGCTCTCAGTTACCATTATGTACTCCACTTCTGAAGTGTCCACTCTTAGGCATTTGTCATCCCACTATTCTTTTATGTTCACCTCATTCCTTACCTAAGCTCTTACTTGTCTGAAGCACACCATGTAGCTTGGTTTCAATACTGTATGTTCTTCATTGTGCATTTTTATTTTTTATGCTTCAACTGATGAATTTTCACCGGTTAAGTGCTTGTTAAGGGCTTAATCATACCCCAGTGTCAAACCAAAGTGACAGCACTGGTCACAGTACACCTACGATGGATTAAATCCCCTGCAAGAAGTTTAATCACTTTGCTTTTCCACCGCTTTGACTGCTCATTTGGCAAATGACTGCAAAATGCTGCCAAACTTCATTCTGTTTCCCTCTAGTGCCTGGGTGAATATGGCCAGTGGCCATCTCAAAAAAATAGGAAAATAGGAGGCTGAAGTTCATTTCCAGGCCAAGAAGACCAGAGATGAAAATTACTCTGGCCCTGAATGTTTTCCCTGGCACATTTTTGCATGCTCAGTGGCACAGCAGTTGTCTTTCTTTCTTAACATGCACAAAGAATGCATTGGTATTACAGATGAAACACCTTTTATGTGGCTATAAATAACAGAAAACCTTAATCTGGAAAGAAAGGCCCTTTAAAACCCTCTACATAGCAAACTAGAATTTGTCTTTTTTTTTTTTTTTAAAGCTTAATACATTCCCCTGTTTGCTCACCACAGTAGAAGCAAGAATGGACAGCTGCAAAAGGGAGCCCTCCTCACTACCACATTCCCTTCACCTTCTGCTTCCTAGGAGAAGCTTAGAATTTGCTGTGAAGATGATGTTGCTTTCCTTGTGCCTCATTCTTAGATACCATAATGTCTCTTCACAAACAAATATTCCCCCAAAAAGAAACAATAATTAAGCAGTGCAATGTTATGCCCTCTTTTACCATCATTTCTTCCCCTCTGACACAGTGGAACAGTCAACACTCTCTGCTATGTGCAAGGTGAACCAGAGAGGGGCTGGCACCCTTTGCTGCCTCAGGAACCTTCTTGCTGGATCTCAGAGCCTTCCCATATAGCCTGACACCAGGTTACTCACCTGCTGCATGTCAGAAGGTGAACAGGAGTAGGGAAGGCAACTCAGAAAATGATCCACACTTCCACTTCTTAGCAATGCTCAACAAAAGAGAGAGGAGGGAGTGAAAATGAGACCTTGTGTAAAGTTGGTCCTCAACACAATGTTGCCATACATTGGATGGATACACTGATGATCAGCCAACTGAAGGCTCAGATTTTTTAATTATTGCAAGGGAAATTATTTGGTTTTTATCTACATGCACACACATGCACACACTTACACACACATCTCATCTGGTCCACTGCCTGGGAAACACACCAGCCAGTCACACCCAGGAGCCTTGGGTCAGGCACCAATAAATGTGGGATGAATGTTAATGCTCCCAAAAACTATCACCAGTCCTGATACCTGCATGGGAAACAGAGCACAGTGTTCAGCCACATGCTTTGACTCCACACATCTTCGAGAACAAACCAAATTGTATGAAGTTGCCTAGTCACAAGTGGAACCTGCTTATGAAAAGCTTAGCAGGGAAAATGGTCTGAGAGGACCATCAGCCAGCACCTACCTGAAAAAAACAAGAGGGACAAAGCCAGGGGATAAGGGACATTTTGACCTGTCTGTTGATAACTGACAGGTGTAATCAGCAAGGATCGCTCTCTGAAGTTTCTCACTCTAGAAAACAAATCTGGCAGGCCAAAGGGGTTGCCAATATTTTCTTCGGCGCTGTGATCAAAGGCTGACTGTCCTGAACTGCTATAAAGCCTCATCCTGATGGAGTGACTGTCAGCTTAGCAGGTTTCATTTTGATGCCACTGGCTGGAGAGATTTCTAAGAGCTGTAGCCACAGGGTCTGTAAAATACATGCAGTACATCTTCAGTTGGCATGATAAAGGTGTTTGACATTTCACAACTATTTTTGACAATTCCTCAAACTGTCCTTGGCTTTTATATAAAGTGGATAAAGTAGACTTGCCTGTCTTGAAACTTTGTCTGCCCATCAGCCCCATTTCCAGATCCACATGCCTGTACCTTCCCTTGAGCACAGTGAACCCCTAGGGTAGGTGGGAGAGTTACCTTTGCCATCTCCATCAAGCCAAGTAGGTTAAAGTACTCACTTGTCAAATGCAGGAAGGGACATGACATGTAAGGAGGACTCATTCCCATCATTGTTGTCTCAGTAGCATCACGAGATTCAGGACTCCGGGCTCCCAGACAGACATTCCTCCTCCACTCTTCACCACGCTCTGCTGCAGCAAGGCAAGTGCTTCTGGGAACGTGTTGGGGACTGGATCCCAGCTGAAAGTAGCCCATCAAAAATAGCAATTTTTAAACTGAATCATTTTCCAAATCACACTCTAAAATTACTTCCCTTCCTGGCAAGCTCCCTGCAGCTCATCGGTACACAGGCACGCATGGACTTGGAGGATGCAGACTTCTCAGGAGCTGCACTAATCCCATTCCGTAGGTTTCTGCATCCATCCATCCATGCATCTGTCCATCCATCCCTCCCCTCTGCACTCTAAACCTCAGCTACAGAATACAGGGGCCACCTCTCTCACCTCAGCAGAGAGATTTACAAAGAGCTTGTTCTCTTTCCTCCAAATTCTTGTCAAGAGAAATGACATGTTGCAGAACTGCCTAACTGGTCATTCAGTGCTTCCAAGAATTCAGCTGTTCACTTGGAGAGCTGAAGAATGCTGATGTCTTCTGAAAGGCCAGGCTCCTGTTATGTTGAACAAGGTGACATCCTTGTTCAGGATAAAAAAAAAACCCAAGAAGATAACTGGTTTGTTGCCTAATAGTCTACATGAAGTCAACAGTGAGGTGTGCATTCAGGAATTATCTTTTGTGGGGTCTCAGGAATATTACAGAGCTGCATCACCCTGAGCTGTAGAATAGTAGCTTTCCATTATCAAAATGTATTAAAAATCCTTTGCATGCCAAAACACTGACTGAGCTTTTCCCGCATAGAGCAAGAATAGAAAACAAATAAGCAAAACTAACGCAGAAAGAACATAAGCCACCAGAGTGGAAGGTTTTCCCATAAAATACAAAATTTCATACCACCAAAGACTGAGAGGAAAAGAAGTCACCTGAATACAGAACTACCTGCACAAGACGCAGGGTGCCTCCAGCTTCCGTTGACATTACAGGCAAGTGAGAACACATTAATGTGATCAGGATGCTCAGAGCATTATACGGGATCAGGCCTTTGGAAATTGGCTATTCATCACATTTAAATTGAATGTAATTGCCAGTGCTTATTAGATCATTCTCTGAGTGAGAGTAGTGAAAGTGAGAAAGTGTAGTTAGATGACTGGGCCTCAGGAAAAAAAAAAAAAAAAAAAGACATTGCATAACTATTCATAAATTAGCAGGAAGAATACAGGAATCTCTGATTTAAACAGCAAATGTTTTCTGTTTCTCTTAAACCAGCAGAAATATTCTCCTAGTAAAAAACCCACCTATTTGGTTACCAGTACTCCTGTTTTAACAGAGTTTAGCCTCCCCTGGCAGCGAGAACAAGCAAATCAAAACCTGCACACGGCTAACTCCTGCCTCTGACTCTGACTCGATTTTGAGTTTGCGAGTACAAGATACAGTTCCCAAAGGATTCTCAAGTTCATCTCATCAGCTTCTTCAGCTCTGCTCTCACGAAAGCTGGACTGCTACTGACAGAACAACAAGGGCTTACACAGCCCAGCTACCTGACAGCAGTTTCATCCCAAGACTCCAGATGGACCACCTGCCTGTCAGCCCATAAGATGTCTCGGTTTTCAACCCATCTGTCTGCAACAGGTAACTCATGGCTTCAAAACCAGTTACAAGCCTGCATTTTTCTCTTTCCCCTCCCCAAAAGGTCAGAGGGGAGACACAAGAATACAAAAGGCCATTTGGGTCCCAACACTGGTCTTTTGCTTCAAAATCTACCAAAGTGTCCTGAGAGGGTAAGGAGACATTAATAACATCTAAGGCTCCATGGAAACACACATTCTCCCACTAATACTTTGCAGTTAGTATGTTTTTCACTGTCCCAATCTGTACCTAAGTTGGGTACCAGGAAGGTCTCACCCTCTATCCCAAAGTGTCCAGGCTTCTACCTTAAAAAACAAGCATATTGACTTTGGTTATGGATTGTGACCAAAACCCTTGCTCACAATGCTACCCAGGCCCTGATTGCATAGACTACCAACTACCTAATCCATTTCTTTTAATTACAGAGTAATACCAAAGAGGCTGTCCCCTAAATCCAGTAGGAGGTACAAGTGAAGAAAAGGAGCATCTCATTGCCCATGCGGTTTGTTGAGCACCCAGGCTAACCATAAGGCCACTCACTGAAAAGTAATTTCTTTGGCACATATTACAGACAAAAACTACTTTACACAGTAGATACTGAATAAGATAATACTGTATAAAGAGCAACATAAGAACATCTGCACATTAATTCCAGCAGTAAGTTACAAATCTATTTGTGTTTTGTCACCGCCAAGGTAGAAAATATGCCCAGCTACTCCAAACAAGCTGGGCATACAAGGACTGTATGGCATGTTTACATTCAAACTGCATGAGACCCTTAAAAAAAAATACTTGAGACATTTCCATGGCAATATAGTAGTAAAAAGCTCCTAAATTATGTACTTGATATTTGTTTCTCAACAGATATTTGCTGCAAAGTCAGTGGGGACATGCATGTGCAAAAGCTTGTATTGGAACCAAGAATACAACTATGGAGGTCTTGGTATCCCTGAAGTCAAAAAAAGTGGTCTTGCTAAGTTGCTTGTAAAATCACATAGTCAAACCATGGTTGAGTATTTAAGGATTCTAACCCCCACACACACAAAAAAAAAAAAAAGAGAGAGAGAGAAAGAACTAATCCCTTGAAAGGAATAGCAGTAACTGGGTTGTTTCAGGTTTAAAATACCATATTAAATTTTATTCTTTAATAATGAGGTGTGATGTTTAGTATTCCGACCTATTTTCAGACAATGGTTTAATTAAACATTTAATGAATGCATCTCATTTCTTTGCATGAGTTTCACTCTAATCAACCAAGATAATAATATAAACATTATTTTTTGATTATTAAAATAATCCCTTTCACAAACACTGACCTCCTGACAAACAAAATGGCTGGTGCCATCTATACAATATGCCTGCAGTGCAGGGGCTTAATTTTAGCATAAACCCCAATTTACAGTTGACTATCAGCTTTTAAAAAAATCCTAGGTAAATGGTTTTAAACACAGTGAGGTTTTCACCCAATCCCTCGAAATTTGATTCAATAATCAAGAAAATTCATTAAAAAATCATTCATTTAACCATATAACTGCCTTTAAGAGTGCTGCCCAAGCAGGGATGCAGTAGCAGCTTCAGGATGTTTCCTCAAACAAATTCTAGTATAGAATCAGAGCAACCAAAACCATGACTTTCACTCAAGCCACAGTCCTGCATATGTGGAGGATTTGTATCCAGCTAGTGGAGCTTTTCCAGGAGTTAGTGACTTTGGAAAGGACCATACATTTTCAGTGGGACCTTAATGAAAAAAATAGACTTTTTCCCTCTAGCTTTATAACCAAAAAAATCTGAAGTATATTTTGCAAAATGGTGACAAATTTTCAAGACTCCAAGTAAAAAAATCTTAGTGAAATGAGTTGTCAAAACATTTTGAAAATCTGTCAACAGCTCGAATTCTTAGAAACCATGATTTGGTGATGCTTGAAATATTGTCTTGTCCATGCTGAAGCAGCTAAACCACATTCCTTGCTGCTTCAGCTTAGTTTTTTTTTTTCTTTATGGAAAGTTACTGGTATGCTTTCATACCTATTACGTGATTCCTCAAGCTCATCAGCATCCCACCAGCATCATCCTTTCCCAGGCACGACATCTCCAGAGAGGCCACCACAGACTCGGTTTCTACTGTTTGGAAAAGACTCAGCCCTGTCACCTAAGGAAACAGGCAGTTTTTCATCCCCATCTATGACCCAAGAAGGGACAATGATGAGAATACGAGTAATACAAACTTTGCTAATTGGTTTCTCACTTAAAACATCGCTGGCCTTTCACAGTAGGTGAAATTGTTGAGGACTCCAGAGAACTGGACTCTCCTTTTTCAATGTTTCCAACAGGAAAAATATAAAACAACAACAACCCAACCAACCAACCAACCAACCAGTCTCATTTCCCCTGCAAACACAAAAATACCATGAATCTGAAGCCCAATATACCTCTACAGCAACAAAATTCCTGTATATTCCAGTAAATTGGCTTAGTTTTACATAGTCTGGTACAGTGGATTGTATGTAATCATTCCTGGATTACCAGAGTGGAAATTATTTCTAACTACAGACATTGTCATTAAATGGTCCATATCTGACCTATTATATTAAGCCTTTGATGATCCATGAGAGACTTTCCACTCATTTCAATGGGTTTTTGATTAGTTCTTATGTACTTTGCCAAATTTTTTTTCTACTTCTTTTGCCCTTGAGATCTACTATTACTTCTCACAGCTATTGAGTTTGTGATTTATTGGTTTAATTATTTTATTTTTACTTAGTATTTATAGTGGGACACAACTTGACACTTTGAAATAGGAGACACTTTTTTTCTTAAGTGTTGCATCTGGTATTGGTTGCCTTGAGCACAACAAAAGATGGAAATCTTTGATACTTCTAAACACTTTCACTTCTGCTGAAAAAAAGGCTTTAGGACAAAAGCGATAGTGGCAAAAAGCAAAGTTTAAACATGCTAGTGGCTATCAAAATATGATATTTGAGTACTTTGTAAACTAAGTATTTGCATTTTATCAGTGGCCTTTTCCTAGGAAGCATAGTTGTAAACACAAGCTATTTTCTTCACCTGACAAGTCTAAACGATCCGCTAGAAAGGGAGGAAATTCTCCCACTACAGATGTGGCCAAGAGATAACTGCCACTAATGTGAAATCTCATGCCCAAGCAAAATCTCTCAGATCAAAAATAAGAAATAAATGTGTGAAGAACAGCTATGGAGAAGTCCTAGTGATGGCAAATAGCCCTTTTCTAAAAGACATCAGGTAGCCACCTAGAGACGGCAAACATTTTTCTGTATAAAAAAATAGAACCTAGGCTATAAAAAAACCATAAACCAGGACACAAGCTCCCATCGCGGTGAGACTGACACTGGCAACTGTAAATCGTGGGGAGGATTTGCTCCTCCGAGCCCAGATCTTTCCTACACGTGTTATCATCCCCTACACACACGATTGCAGGACTGGCATCACTCCCATCCTCTTTGCAATATTTTATCAGTGTGAATTCTCATTTTATTTAAAAAATACGAATGTAATTATTTACTTCAAGTCTACCAGGGAAGGACTGCAGTTCTTACTGCAGCGTAACAGATAAGAAAGGCTACAGTGCTTATTCCAAGGCAAACAGCGAAGACAGAATCCACCAGATTAGTGTAGGGAGGGGAAGCCACCTTTCATACACTAGCTAAGATTGAATGGGCATTTGGCACCGAACCCAAAATTTATCATTTTCTTGGGTCCAATTTTGTGCAGCCCAAAATCTGGAGTCAGATCAGAAACAAGGATTCGCGCACCTAGAAATGGCTAAAATTAATTAATTAGCGCTCCACCGAGCGACATCAACTCCCTCAAAACCATCCCTCTTGGCACGGGGCACGAGAGAAATGGTTTCAGAGCCAAACAACCCCCGCAGCGGCATAGGGGCATCGCACACACGGCGAGGGAGCGGCCGCGTTTGCCGCGTCCCCGCTTCCCGGGTACGCCCGGGGGGGCGGCCACCGGCCGGGGCCGCGGTGGCACCGGAGAACTGGGAGTGGCGGGCAGGGCTGGGCCGGGCCGGGCAGGGCGGCCCCGTCCCGCCCCATCCCTCCCCCCGGGCCGGGCGCGGCGGCGCCCCGGGGGCGCGGCACCGGCGGCTCGGGCGGCCCGGCCCGGGCGGGCGGGCGGCACCGGCGGCAGCGGAGCTGGGCGAGCCTTCCCGCCGGGGATGCGGCTCCCCGGGGGACGCGCCGCACGCTCCCGCCCTCCGCCCGCCGTCGACCGGGCGCCGCGCGGAGCCTCCGCCTCCGCCTCCCCGCGGCGTCTCCCCCGCGGCGGGGCCGCCGCCGCCGCCGCCCCGCATGGCCAGAGCGAGCCGGCCGGGGCGCGCCGCCGAGCCCGCGCCGCAGCAGCCCCCGGCCCCGGGGCCGCGGGGCGTCGGGCTGAGGGCGGGCGGGCGAGGCCAGCGGCCCCGGGCGCCGCCGCCGCCGCCAGCCGGGCGGGCAGCCCCGCCGGGGATGACTCAGAGCCGCGGCCCCTGCAGCGAAGCCGCCGCCGCTCCGGGCTCCGCGCGGCGCCGCCCCATGCCCGCGCCCCCCGCCGGGGGCCGCCCGCCGCCCGCCGCGCCCGCCGCGCCGCGCACCGGATGATGCCCCCGCGGGGGGCGGCGGGCTCCTGCCGCCGGCGGCGCCTGGCGCCCCTCAACGAGGACAACGGGCGGTTCCTGCTGCTGGCCGCCCTCATCGCGGCGTACCTGAGCGCCGGCGCCACCGTCTTCTCGGCCCTCGAGAGCCCGTCGGAGGCGGAGGCGCAGCTCCGCTGGAACCGGACCCTGCACAACTTCAGCCGCATCTTCAACATCAGCCTGCCGGAGCTGCGCGCCTTCCTGCGGAGCTACGAGGCGGCCATGGCCGCGGGCATCCGCGTCGATGCCCTGCGGCCCCGCTGGGACTTCCCCGGCGCCTTCTACTTCGTGGGCACCGTCGTCTCTACCATAGGTGAGCGCCGCCCCGACGGCCCCGCGGAGGAGACCCGCCCGCCCGGGGGATGCCGCGGCCCGGTCGTTATAGCGACCAAAGTTTGGGAAGAGGCGCTGCCGCGTTGCTGTGACAACCGGGGGCCGCGCAGTAGAGGGGCGTCCGACTCCCTGTGTCCCCCCCCTCACCTCCCAGCCCGGCGAGTCGCGGTCGCACCGCCCGCCCCGCTGCGCGGAGCCGGGAACCGGAGCTTCTCCCGCCCCGCAGCGCTCCGGCTCCCGCGCGTTCGCAGGACCGCCGGCCGTCGGTTCCCTGGGCCGGCAGCGTCGGGAGTCCCGTCCCTACCCATTAAACTTCTGCTGCCGGCGGCCGGCTTTCGTTCAGCCGGCCCGAAGGAGCGAGCGGGGCTGGCGGTCCCCCGAGCAGCGCTGCCCGCGCTCCCTCCGCGCCGGGATGCGCCTGCCGGGAGAGTGGCTCGGTGCCGGGAGAGGCGGCGCAGGGCCCCGAAAGCAGCGGGCTGATGGAGATGCTGAGTGAGAGCTGGGCGTTCGCGGTGCCTGGCCGCTGAACTTGGTAGCGGCTTTAACTGGTGGCAAAGTTAAGATGTGTATGTGATTAAAGACGCAAGTCCAGCTGTAGCATAATACACGTTCTCAGTGTGTCGCTGGTCACAGCTGGCTGCAGTTGTTCATATCCCGTAGGTGTTCGGGAAGAGCAGCACTTTGTAGGCAAATGGTGAGTTTTGGTAGGAGGATATTTTTTTACTGTAAAATTATTAGATTTTACTCTGAAATTTCTTACTCTGAAAGCACAGTTAAGAACTATTGTATCAGAGATCTAGCCAAAGTAAAGCCATAGTTATCTGCTGGTCTCAGGCTATTGCTTGAGAAATCCCGTCCCTGTGGACACAGGATCTTACCGATCTTAATTCTGCCAGATTTTAAGTATTGTAACAAGCCAACTGTCTTGGGGCTTCTGAGCATAAATGTCGTGTTTCCCCTTTATTAGAAAGGAAGAAACGCACAGCTCATTATTGCACTTACATTCATTAGGTTCGGGAAATGTTTTGTCAATAGTGACTAATCTGTATAATAGAGTCGTGATGGTGACTCCAGCAGTGTTGTCAGGTATTATTACTTTTTGCATTGAATAGTTCAGTTAACTTTTGTTTTGCAAGTATGTTCGATAGTCCAGTCACTAGAACACCATTTTAATTAAGCACTAAGCCCTCTTCATCGCAGGAACATATATTTAAAAGAGATCATTTTGACTGCCCTGAATGGATGGACGAAAAAAGTTAGTGTATTAACAAACCCACTCTTTTCTTACACCTGCCGTGGCAAACAGAGAAGTCTTCAGGTGATGTGTAAACACATCACTTCCCCACTATTGAAATGTAAAATGTGTCTCTTCATTTGCATTTGTTTGCATCTCCATTGCCCCACCTTCAGTCATTTGTACCTGGGCAGAGGGAATGAGGAACTCAGCAGAGAGTTTTGCCAGTCTTGGCCAGTGTAAATGGCTGAACCAGGAATTGTGTTTCTCATATTCCTGTAGAACAACCGAGGGCGAGGGCGCCAGGGCACCGGTCTCTCGTTATAGATAAATACCCGTCTCTCACATGCGGGATGGAGGCTGAAGAGTGTTTTTCCTGAGAAACAGAAAAGGCCAGGTTATGACAAAGACTCCCCAAGCAGTACCTTCTCTTGGCATTCTACCTGCTAGTGCTTACTCCTGGATTACTTACAGTGCTTTGTGTGAGTTCAGAGCACCTGCTGTGGAACAAGGCTTTGCTCTGGGTGAGGAGATGCAGCAGAAGGTAGCTCAAAGCAAGGCCAAGTTGTGCCTTTGGGCACAGTGAAGGCCATGGCAGAGCTGCTGTGCTGGGGGTGCCAAGCTGCACAGCCCAGCAGGAGTAGTGTCTTGTGGAGTACCACATGCCAAGGCTGTTGCACTCCATCCTGGAATAGCTTTTACCAGCTACAGGTACAGTTCTTGCAGATGAAGAGGAAGTGCTGCCCCCACCTCAGTACTTCTGCTTGCATGCTTCTTTGAAGCTGCTGCAGCTCATGGAGGAACAAAGCCCATGGTGAGCTCAGTTGCCTCTCCATGGGCAAGGTTTCTTCCACCACACGGTTTATTCAGTTATATTGGCAGCTCTGCCCAGCAAAAGCAAAAAAATCCAGTGAAGTAACAAGTTGTCCAGCTAAAACCCAAAACTGTACTGTTAGTCAAATGTGCTCAAAGCTGTCTGGCTCATGGTCCCAGCAGGGAGAAACCAAATGGTAGGCATGAGAATGTCACCTGAGGGAGCAGTTCTAGAGTCATTCTTTTGTGGTCCATTTTACTCCTCCCAGCCAGCTCATTTATGTACCTACCCACCTGGAGTACCTTTAATTCCACTGTCAGCTCACACACCACATTATCCTTGATTTTGACTTGCTTTTGTGTCACGCTTCGTTGACAAGAATGGTGTTTTTACTCAACCTCACCAAGAACTACCAGACATCCAGAGTCAAAACAGCTTGCCTTCCTCAACAACTTCATCAGTTACATGTGTCAAAACAACTTTATTGCTCCAGCTAAACATGCTACTATCCTAGCAATGTGTTGGAAGGGTTTCTTACTCACTACTTAACAAACAGCAAGTGTATGCAATGTCTGTCAAGGGTGAAGCACCCGCAGGTTACTCACATTCTTACCTGTAGAGGATTCCAGCTTAGAGGAATCTCGCTGTGTCTTTTAAAGCCCTCACTCTGCTTTCGACAGTTTTAATAAAACTACTAAATCTTCCATACGTAGACATCAATATAGTCACACAGGGACAGGGCTGCAATTTTTCCTCGTGTTTGTGTAAGCTGAACAGAGGGAGAGAGACTCCAGTTCTTCATCATTCTGTGAACAAGGGTTAGGCATAGCTAGGCTTGGAGAAAACTGCTCCATCCACCTTCCCTGAACAGGGCCTTTGCAGAGCTGGGCAGCTCTCCTTCTGTAGGTGGTTCCTTGGCTGCAGTTCTGCACTTCCCTAATTACACAGGGATGCAGTCAAATCCTCTGGGTGAAAAACATGTTAGTGGGATCTTTAAGAAAGGAGAATTAAAATGAAATTATAAGTCTAATATTAAAGCATTTTGCTGAATAGCCCACAAAGCAAGTGGTTTACAGCCCATAAAACACCCTCTTGATAGCACTCTGGGCATTCATTTTTCTATTATTGCATTGTTTGTGCTTGAATAATGAAATGATGAGTCTATTTTCATTAGACAAATCTTGATTTTTCAGAGCTATGTAAGAAAATTCTTCAGTCTAATTTCTGGTTGTTTGTTGTCAGATTACACCATCTATTCAGTCATTATTTTGCACTCCAAAAGGTAGGATTTTTGTAGGCAGCTATTATTGTTCTGATTTCTTTAAGGAGCAGCTAGGTAAAATTTATTATTGATTCTTTGGTCTAAGTGACAGTAGAATTCATTTTTCAGCTGAGTTTTTTCCTTCCTTCTCCAAATGCAAACCATCAGTAGTTCCGAACACTTTGTTAAAGACTGAAAGCAAAAGCATAAGTCAGACCAGTTTTCTTCCTGGTAAAGTATTGCAGAGTACAACATAATCAGTCATAGCTTTCCCCATGTTCTAGGAGCACAGATTCATTCTGGCTAGCACATCAGGCAGCTCTGGAATGCCTGAAGCTCTGGATTTCTGACTTCAATCCATGACACTGTACACAGATTTTTTTCCTCTCTTAAGTATTAGAATAAATCTTAGGTGCCTGTGTAGTAAAACATATTGAGACATAGAGCTATCAAATTTGTATTTTTAGCTTCTTATGTGTAAGAACATATGTTTCAAAAATACAGTGGTATAATTAATTTATAGAAATCCATGCCAGACGTTAAAAAATAAGGTCAAGAGAAGTACTCCAAAATGTAAAGGTGATTTTTCAATATAATATTTTTTAAAGGACCATTACTGTGGGCGGACTGTTTTGGGATGGAACATGTCTGGGTTACATGTGCTTGAGAAGGGCCCCAGGAAGAAAAGATACGAGGATCCTCTCCCTGTACAGCTGTGTGAAGGCTACAGGTGTTCAGGGCACAGTGTGTAGGAGTGAGCAAGACTGTTTATCCTTTCCTTGTCCCTGAGGTATCCTGTTAAATGACTCAATATTCCAGTGGACTGACAGCTCCACACGAAGGGAAGGGGTATGTTCTGCTCTTACCTTAAATGAGAGACACAATGTTAGGTGTTTTCTGCCATCTCACTGGCTTCTGGGAGCTGTTCTCTCCTTGCTTAGGATGTCAGCTGGGTTGGAGCTTCTTCTCTCTAGGTCCTCTGTAGGGACCCATCATACTCAGCTTGTCATTTCTGCTTGTGCTCCACAACCTAAGCACCATAACCACTCAATTCTAAAATATCCTCTGGCTCTGTGTAGTAGTCTTGTGAGAAAATCTGGTGGTCCAGGTGTTCTGGAGGTGATAATTTAATGCAAGTGATGTGCAAAATACAGTTGGACAGCTCAGCAAGCAAATGGTCAGCTGCTGGACTGCACTGCTAGGAGCCAGGGAGTGAGTCTGCGAGAGCAGGCACTTCATAGCATAATTTGGCAAGAAATTTCACAAATAATTGAGATGATCTGAAGGTTTTAAGGGGAAAGGATATTTGTCCTGTCTTCTTCAATGCTGTATTTCAGGATATGGATTTAAGCCGTAGCCACAGGAGGTTCTGGCTCTCTGCTCTCCGTGAATGCAGTCTCACTGTCTATACAGCCAATGCAACCAAAAGGCAACAGCCAAAACAGAGCGTAGACCTGATCAGCATCAGTGTTATGCTCCTCAGGGCTCTGCAATTCCCTGAGGCTTGTACAGGCAGCTTCTGGGAAGCTTCAGATTAGGGGGAGAGTTGCCTCCGGAGTTGACCTTCTTAAAGTTAGGAAATAATCAAACAAAACCAAATGAGAAAGCAGCTGGAAGAGCAAGCACTATTATTAAGCTGCAGTGTCAGGTTATTTGTCCTTGCCATCCTAT